TACTCACTTCTTTTTCGGTTTCTATGTTTCAATATATATCCATGAATTTAATGATATGTTCACAATAAATCTTTTTTGGAATAATAAATCATGTGTACAAGACTAAACTGGACAACTGTAACACGAGATAATGTACTATTAGTTACATGGTGTGTTAGTGACCTAATACGATATATATGGGGTCAGTAAATTCCATATGGATGGAATTTACTGACCCCATATATATCGTATTAGGTCACTAGCACACCGTGAAACGAATTTATCTTACCGACTATTTTCACATGTGGTATTTAGACTAGCGGCCTATCAAAGTGATTAAGTCTTCAATATTTAGTAATAAGAACCTACTACCATTTGTCTATACAAAAGACAAATGCCAACAATAACAACTTGTTAGCTTTAAATTTGTTTTATGAATTTATTTCAATCGTTCATTATCAATTTCTTCGTCTATTGAAACCTTTCAGATTTCTTTTTTGTTTTGAAAGGGAAGTAACTCCTTACTAACCCCATATGGTTACTAGCCCCATATTTTTTTAGGACACCCTATATCAAATATATGTAGTCACCACGTGTAGTCCTTTAACCAATCATATCCCCAGAAATCTATAGGAGGTAAGATAAAGGTTATTATGTCAACATAATAGTAACAGTGTAATAATAACCTTTAAACAGGCGCACTCGTTTAATTATTCAAGTATAAAAGGTCATGTGAACATATTTAATTCATGGATAGATATACTGAAACACAAATTAAAAAAAAATAAAGTACAACTCTAAATTAACAGAACAGCTGCATTTAACAGGTCCGCATGGGCGTATGCGTTATACATTGGGTTAATAGCGGATCAACACAATGTATAACGCATACCAGTCGACTGGCATATATTTCCGCCCAAAACATCTATGATACGCGCCCCTGTGACAGGTCGGGCACATTTCCTAATACTGACATGTATTATTTGGCATACTTATACCCCTGTCAATGCATGTATTAGTGTTTGTTTACAAATAAAGCATTTTTTTTTATTTTGACGATTGACCAATACACTGAATGATTTGCAATGCATTATGGACTACTTGTCTATAACTGACACACTACTTAATTTTTCACTTATTGCCAGAAAAGAGTTTTCTTACTTTTTATCTCTCGATTACTTGGTGATATCACCTCTGAATATACTCATTCTTTCAAAAGAAACCTTTTGCGGTGGGTATATAAATATATTCAAAACCTATAAACGTTCATGCGTCAGGCCTGTTTCTTGTCATCGCAACTCATCTCAAACCACACAACAGAATTTCACGAAACCTTTTTAGATAATAAGGACATACTATGTAGTTGTGCATATCGACAGGAAATTACGATTCAATTTTTTTTTCTAGGAGTTACGCTCCTTTGAACTTATTTGCTTCAATATACCTCTGCAACAGTTTGTCATCGCAACTCCTCTGAAACCACACAACAGAATTTCATGAAACTTTGTAGATAATAAGGACATACTAGGTAGATGTGCATATCGACAGGAAATTATGATTCAATTTTTTTCTAGGAGTTACGCCCCTTTGAACTTATTTACTTTAATGTACTACTGCAACAGTTTGTCACTTTAACTCCTCTGAAACCACACAACAAAATTTCATGAAACTTTGTAGATAATAAGGACATACTACGTAGATGTGCATATCGACAGGAAATTACGATTCAATTTTTTTCCAGGAGTTACGCCCCTTTCAACTTTTTTGCCCAACATACTACTGCAACCTTTTGTCATCGCAACTCCTCTCAAACCACACAATAGAATTTCATGAAACCTTTTCAGATAATAAGGACATACTACGTAGATGTGCATATCGACTGGAAATTACGATTCAATTTTTTTTCTAGGAGTTACGCCCCTTTGAACTTATTTGCTTCAATATACCTCTGCAGCAGTTTGTCATCGCAACTCCTCTGAAACCACACAACAGAATTTCATGAAACTTTGTAGATAATAAGGACATACTAGGTAGATGTGCATATCGACAGGAAATTATGATTCAATTTTTTTCTAGGAGTTACGCCCCTTTGAACTTATTTTCTTTAATGTACTACTGCAACAGTTTGTCACTTCAACTCCTCTGAAACCACACAACAAAATTTCATGAAACTTTGTAGATAATAAGGACATACTACGTAGATGTGCATATCGACAGGAAATAACGATTCAATTTTTTTTCTAGGAGTTACGCCCCTTTGAACTTATTTGCTTTAATATACCTCTGCAACAGTTTGTCATCGCAACTCCTCTGAAACCACACAACAGAATTTCATGAAACTTTGGAGATAATAAGGACATACTAGGTAGATGTGCATATCGACAGGAAATTATGATTCAATTTTTTTTTCTAGGAGTTACGCCCCTTTGAACTTATTTGCTTCAATGTACCTCTGCAACAGTTTGTCATCGCAACTCCTCTGAAACCACTCAACAGAATTTCATGAAACTTTGTAGATAATAAGGACATACTATGTAGATGTGCATATCGACAGGAAATTATGATTGAATTTTTTTTCTTATACAATTTTTTTTTTCTTACAGTTATTTTATTTCTCCAGTGACAATGTGTGGACGTGGGGTATGTGAGCGCGCTCACTAAGGTTCTTTAATTGCGTGCAGTCTTTGTTGTTGACAGCTAGTGACAGACACGATATCATTTAAATATCAGGTGTCCATGTCCACACTGTTATGAAATTCATTCTTCAATAAAAACAATATTCAAAGTCTAATTACAGTGTTAAATTGGTAACCTTTTAGAATAAGTTTATTTAAAGGATCGATAAGTTTATCCTGATCGTTTCTAAATTTCCGGGCTCGGTAAACAACATCTCCGTAAAAATGAAGATGTGCTATCCCGTTTGAAATAAGTTTTCTACAGGAACAACCAAACTTCAAAACCAAATCTTTATATCTATGGAAGAATTTAGTAAAGATTTTAAGTAATTAGTGGTAACGAAATCCCTGACTTAATAATTTACCAGTAATACATAGATTACGTTCATTAAAATCCAAAATGTCACAACAGACACGGGTTGTGATATATAAACACCGTAAGATGGTGCCAAAGGATCATCACCATCCAAAAAAAGGAAAATTAACAATAGGGTACGAAAAATCGTCCCTTTTGTCGTAAATTTTTAATGTAGAGTTTCCCGTGTAAAAGTGAAATATCTAAATCTAGGAAAGGACAGTTATTACCGTTTACATTTGACTTATTTAAAGTAAGTTCCTTTGGGTAAATTTCGGCAGTATATTTAGAAAATTCTTGATTATCTAACGAAAAAAATATCATCAAGATAACGGTAAGTGTTGTTGAATTTATCAATTAAATGCAATTTAGACGGGTCTTTACTGAGTTTGGTCATAAACTGTGATCATAACAGTACAAGAACAAGTCTGCTATTAAAGGGACGCAATTGGTGCCCATAGGAATACCTATAACTTGTCGATAGACTTTATTGCCGAAACGTACATAAATATCATCAAGGAGAAAATTAACAGCTTCAATCATCTCATCACACCTCCAGTAAGTATATCTAGCATATTTACATTTCTCATTAGAGAAGAAGGCTTTAAATAAGTTCTAGTTCACAAGGAAACAGTCCGCAGGAAGACATGTCACCTTACCCGGACACATTATTCTGACTCCGAGCCAACCAGTCTTTGCTCTTACTGCTTAATGCCGCGTGCTAAGCGGAGAAGTAGCAAATACCAATTTTAAAGTCTTTGGTTTGACCCGGCCGGGGTTCGAACCCACGACCTCCCGCACGCGAGGCGAGACTCGAAAAAGGTCTTTTAGTTAATTGACAGCTTTAATAAGTAATCATGCAATCATTGTTTCACCTTGATACAACAGTTAACACTAAATAAATAAAAAAAAACACGAAACATTGAATTAAAAATTTGTGTGTATGAATAATGAATGTGGGATCTACGTCACAAAGACACAAACAATCAAAAGACATATAGAGGTCAAAATATGGCCCAACGATAATTGACTATACATAGCAAATTGCCTAAAAAATTTATAAGAGACGATTACAGCCCTACCGCCAACACCAACGTCCCTTAAGATCCAAATAACATGGAGATAGGAACAAAGCCAACCACTGTCTCATGATTTGTGATTGTGAGATAGTCACTGAGCGTGTAAAGCCTCGTTTTTTAGTAGTAATATGCTTACGAAGAATTTTATTGATGACGAAATGAAAAAATGCAGTTTCTTCGAATAATTTCATCATCCGCTTCATATTAGAAATTCTAAATTTTCGCTACATATATTCAGTTTCGAGCGTCGTTATAGTTAAAAAAGGAATATGCTATATTGTCTCGGATATACAAAAAAAATGGCAATCGACACGAAACACTGAGACCAGACAAATGTTGGTTGTGATCTGGGTTGGTATGCCACATACACTCAATGCTACTTTGTTGTTTTTTTAGGTCTATGTAGCGGTGACCAGACAAATGTTGGTTGAGATCCGAGTGTGTATGTCACAGACACTCAATGCTACTTTGTTGTTTTTTAGGTTTATGTAGCTGTGAAAAGACAAATGTTGGTTGTGATCCGAGTGTGTATGTCACAGGAACTCAATGCTACTTTGTTGTTTTTTAGGTTTATGTAGCTGTGATCAGATAAATGTTGGTTGAGATCCGAGTGTGTATGTCACAGACACTCAATGCTACTTTGTTGTTTTTTAGGTTTATGTAGCTGTGATCAGATAAATGTTGGTTGAGATCCGAGGGTGTATGTCACAGGCACTCAATGCTACTTTGTTGTTTTTTAGGTCTATGTAGCGGTGACCAGACAAATGTTGGTTGTGATCCGGGTTGGTATGCCACATTCACTCAATGCTACTTTGTTGTTTTTTAGGTCTATGTAGATGTGACCAGACAAATGTTGGTTGAGATTGTGGTTTATATGCCACAGACTCTCAATGCTACCCTGTTGTTTTTTAGGCTTATGTAGCTGTGACCAGACAAATGTTGGTTGTGATCCGGGTTGGTATGCCACAGACACACAATGCTATTTTGTTGAACAAAAGAAATCAGTAACAAGAGCCCAAGCTGCTACAGATTGTGGGAACAAACAGGCAGACTTATTCAAATTTCAGGACCCTGGTGAACTGGTTTGTCTCTTACAAATTTTATATTAAAAGTTATTGTTTACCATCAAAAGTTCTTCCTTTTAAAATTGACAATAATGTATAACTAAGGAAATATGCCTTATGAATAAATTCATTCAATTTTATAAACAACGGCCACCTGCAGAAAAATATAAGTTTAAAAAAAAACTCATCATTATACTTGTATGTTTGGAAACATTTTCTCTAACAATTTTCAAACATTAACAATGATATTCATCATAATGACGTCTTTTATCAATTTATTTAAAAAAAAGAGGCTGCCAAATTTAAGCAAAACCGGTTACCTCTATTTTGTCACCAGTAGCAAGACAAAAAAGTTTAAAAAGCATTATTTGAACGGTTCTCAATTTATTGCACAGAACCAGATGACACAAAAATTTCCATGATCGCTCAACATAGCTGTTAAATACAATTTAAAAAAAAAATGAAAATTGTACATATTTAAGTATAATTTGCATTGAAGGATTGATTGGTTGATTGCTTTGCATAACGTCCAGTTACAAATGTTTCATGAATATTCAGGACGGGCATCAAAGACATAGTTAACCAAGATTAATATATCTAAATTTAAAAGAGCTTTCTGAATTTGTGGCTCAACCTCTTTACAATAAAGTATTCAATGATTACCTTCCGATAAAGACAAATCCCGACTTTTAGCATTGGCCACTGGAAAAACTTTAAGAATATGTATGACACAAAACATTTACTGCACTTTTAACTAATACATTAGAAGACAATGTCCACGCCCTACCTTGTAAATCCGTTTCAAATCCAAAATAGAAGGGTCTTTGTATTTTATTTTGACGAAACACTTTTTGTTTCACACTACACTTGTTCTTTTTTGCCATTGTTGACAAGACGAAAGAGTTCAATACAACAGCGTAATGTCTATAAATCAAAACTTCCAAACTTTCTACAAACATGGAGATACAGATATTGGGGTTAAAATGAATTTGTGTGAGTTCATTTTTTGAATCAATATCTCATGAAAATCGGAATGGAACCCTTGTCTGGATTTATAGAGTATATTGAACTGTTAGATAAACTCTTCTTTATTTCCACCAGGGACCTTTAGGAATAATGTGTTCTTTATATTTCAGACTTTTATTCAAAATACAATAAAAGGATTCAGTGGGGACGGCTTTTGGACTGATTTATCAGATCTTAGATTTGATGGTTCCTTGACTGGGACTGGTATATGGCAATGGGGACAGTATTTCCAGGTTGATAACTCTACCATGTATGTGTTCTATAATATCATTTGTCAGCAATACAATTGTTTGTTTTTATACTTAACGTTTACAATTCGAACGACATGTTTGTATATTTCATAGGCCGACGGCCTCGTATTACACAAAGAACACTTATGGACTTGAAAGATGGAATTAAGGGATCGAAATTTGCGAACATTTTCCATAACAACGTTTTTACCATGCATCAAGGAGAAAAAATCAAACAATTGCAGCGTGTCCATTTTATCGGGTTTCCTGGTGACCATTACATGATTGTTATTTGGTAGCGTATCTAATTCATATTATTCAAAAATAGCATGATATTTAGTTCTAATGTTATAATTATTTTATAAGTTGAACTAACAACTAATGTAACAATATGTACATATTCACATTCGTTAACAAAATAATGATCTAGTTCTTCTTTTTCTGGTTTAAACATTACTTTCAATGTATCTCTTGACTACCTAAAAACTATATATTATCTTACACACTCCCTCTTTCTCTTATATACCATCCTCTTGGTCGGTGCCATGGTGTCCCCTATAGTACCGCTCTCTCAGTAGACACCGGGAGGTATCTTTACACCACATACAAGGATATTTGTAACAAATACTAAATGCGACTATTTCGAAACCTAACTCTAATAAAATTTACTACAATTCCCTCTTTCCAGTACTTGAAATTCCTATTTCAAAATGTAACTCATTAAATATAATGATAATTAATATATTCTTTCACGGGATTTGGTACTTTCTCTGTCCAATTCCATTTAATTTTTTATTTTGTAAGTTCACATAGACTTTTACCTCTTGACGAAAAGTTTTTAATGAATATCTTGTAATACGAAATTTAGCCTAAGCATGATCTACGTTCTTTCACATTTTGCGTAGGTGCCATCTTTGTAACAGCTTCAACTTTATTTTGATCAATTCGTATACCTTCTCTTGAAACTGTGAATCCTAATTATTGTACATCATGACAAAAGAACGCACAATTCTTCTGTTTAAGTTTCAATCCATTAGTTTTAAGTCTGTAGTTTTACAAAGGTTTAAAAGATGCCCATCAAGTGATTTCCCATAAACAAAAATATCGTCAATATATAACACTGCAACATGCAAATGAAGTCTGCCAACTGCTACTTCAATCATCTCTGGAACATTGTTGCTGCATTACATCGTACGAATGGCATTTATGTATAATGATAATAGTCCACCATTTGGGGTTGAACACGCAGTCTTCTCCTTGTCACTAGGTTTCATTAATATTTAATTATAAGCCATATCCAAGTCCAGTAATGAGATCCACACAATGCATCCAAGTTATCTTCAACCTTCAGGATCGGATACGCATCTTTTATGGTCTTTTCATTTGATTTCCGGTAATCCACACATAACTGCCATGATGAGTATTTTTTTTACTCAGACAATGAGAGCGGACCATGACTGCATGATTTTTCTATATATTTTTCTTCTTCAAATGCTCTATTTCATTTCCGATATTTTCCTCTTGAACAATGGTACTCTTCTTGGGGGCTATTTGATTGGTGTTTTATAATGTAATTTTGTAGAAAGCATCCCTCCCCAAAAAAAAATTCCAGGTTTTTCATTAGGATTTGCAAATACCTCTTGGTATTGCATTAACACCTTCCAAAATTCATCGGCCTCTTCTTGTTTAAATAACTTCATTTTAAAGAAACAGCTTGTTCATCTATTGAGGTAACTGTGCACTAGTCTTGCTTCTTTTCTCGTCAATGTGACAAACGTCAACATGATCAATATCTACCTCAACATAGTAACCGATATTCATAACTGAAACAAACAAAGCCATATGCGTTCCCTTATACAGTATGATGTCTGCATTGGTTGCATTAAATGATCTGGCATGAATTATTCCCTTAGATACATTCACATATTTTTCATAAAACTTCTTTCATGAGACAGAACATCATAAATATTCTTGTCAGTCCCAATTTTACTGCTATTTCGTGTTTAGCAGGTACCATTATTTAATCGAGTGTCTACACTGTTTTTTTGAAATGATATATTCTTGCCATGGACATCAAAAGAAGTATTCCAATCCAAGTGGCAACGAAAACACTTTTTAATTTCTTCTAACAAATTCGATTTCATCCCTCCAACTATTATAGGAAAATCGATAATATTGATATATCTGGTAGTTAAAACGTGTTGTTTTCATTTTTTACAGAAGATGTTGTTAGTCAAAATAGTATATGTATATGTTCTGCAGTCAACGTTAAGTGCAGTCACTACAGATAGTACATGTATATGTTGCTTTCCATGGCCCATGGAAAGCAAAATGACCCTGAATAGTACATAAATATGTTGCAGTATGCAGCCCATGGAAAGCATTGTCACTCTAAATAGTACATGTACTCATGCTGCCATCAACAGCCCCTAGGAATCATATTCACTCTAAAAAGCAAAAAATAATACTGTTCACTGGTCTGTTGTGGTCCGCGTTTAAACAATGTCGATTGCATTGAAAATAAAAATGCACGGTTGGTAGGTAAAAACGTATACGTTTATGAGTAAACTTTAAACTGCAGGATGGAAATAAATCTTCGTGCATTATAGGAAAATCTACATCCCATGGGAATCTTAGTTACTATATATGTTGTTGTCTACACCTTATGAAAATCATAGTTACAATGTTAGTATAGTCTATTGGAATCATAGTTACTCTATGATTGTATCTATAGCCCATGAGACGCATAACCACTATATATGTTGTTATCTACACCCCGTGGGACGCAAATTAACGCTAAATGATGTTATCTGCAGCCCAGGTGATGGATAGTAACTTTTTATGTTGTTATCTACAGTCCATTGGAAGCATAGTCACTTGATATATATTGTTATCTACAGTCCATGGGAAGCATAATGACTCTGTATATTGTTATCTACAGTCCATGGAACTAATAATTAACTCTATATAGTGTTATCGACAGTCCATGGGAATCATAGTAACTCTATATATCGTTATTTTCAGTACATTGGAAGCATAATGACTCTGTATATTGTTATCTACAGTCCATTGGAATAATAATTAATTCTATACATTGTTATCTATAGTCCATGGGATTCATAGTAACTCTATATCTTGTTTTCTACAGTCCATGGGAAGCGTATCCAACAGCTGAGACATCTGAATCATGTGGAGCTATGAATGTTCAGGGAAAGTTTGTTAATCTGGGATGCAGCAGACGACTAGGTTACATCTGCGAAATAGACAACACTGCAAGTAAGTACAATAATATATAATGAGATATAGACAACACTGCAGGCAAGTACAGTAATATATAATGGGACATAGACAACACTGCATGCAAGTACAATAATATATTATATCACTGAATATTTAAAGATAACTGCGGGCGATTTGAAAAATGTGAAAACGAATTTTGTTTTTATATTTGATTTATTTTAAAAAATATGCACAATGGGAAACGTCCAATTACTTTCGAGAGCATGTATATATGTAACACATTAACATTAAATGTGTCTTTAAAAGGTAACAAATTTACATAAACTGAGTAATTAACACTCCACATTTACGTGTTTTATGAACATTTAAAATTATTCGTTTTTATTAATAGGACATTATTCATAGGATTTTTCATTTTTGGGGATATGGTATATGTGTATAATTTTATCGGGACACGTATAAAATGTTTTAGCAAATACAATGTTACGCATAGGGAGAGAGTAGAAGGGTAACTTCCAAACTTTAACTGCCAGATTCCAAATAAATATTAAAATGCTTCTATTATGTGCCTTAGGTTTATTTGATAATGAAGAGACACTAAATTGATTTGAAAATATAAACTAATCGAGGTGAATGAACATCATCCTTCAAAACAATTCTAAACATTCCTATCCGATTCAGCTAACACATGAGACATCAGTTTAGGGCGACCACTCACAGTATCGGTCTTGGACGACACACACGAAAACAGAAAGACATCAAAAGTCATTTAAATATCAACAAATATTTTAGATACTGGGTGTCCAGAAAATTGGATGCTTACAGACGACAACGGTTGCTTCTTCTTCAGTGACACAACAAATGGAACGCAACTTTTGTCTTTTGCGGATGCTCAGCGGGCATGCGCAGCTATGCCTGTTCCAGCTGGAATAACAACAGCTGCTCATTTGATGACAGTGGATTCACCTAGTGACGTAGTATGTAATTTAACTTTTTATTCAATCAAAGCTAATTTGACTTTCTTTTTTTCTGTTACTGCATGAGTTTCGAAATCTGCACAGTAAACATGTTACATAAATTTTTGTCAGCCATTGTTTCAGGAAAGAATAAACGTCCCGCGAAGCACGGGATTCTGTAATTTTATATTACATAAGATTAAAATCATGAATTGTGTTTTTTAGCTTTGTCCCAATGCAAATGATTGCTTGTTTTCTCAGTATAAATGAGAAAGATCACGTGTCTGTTCACAGTATTTGTTGTAATTGGAGGGGAACTTCTAATGAATACTTCAATGATGCAATTCGTTTAACGTTTAGAATAATCATGAGCTTTTGTAAGCTACTACAGATAGTCAGTAAGTAAGCCGAAAATTAAATACAAGCAAAAATAACTAAGAGTCCCCTGTCCTCATCTCTAAAGACTGTTTTATAAAGGAACCTGTTTTTTTTCACTTGGTTTATATTTGAGGGATTTAGCAGGACTACTAGTTTTTCAGTATCAGACAGATTTTGAAATATTATCTATTCCGATGTCAAAATGTTACACAGCAACAAACGACAACCACCGAATTACAGGCACATACAGAATATGGCGGGGATAAAAATCAGTTGAAAAAGGTTTAACTCATCAGATGGATACAAATAGAAATAAATCTAACAGAAACACAGAGTGAACGTGGCAGGGTACTTATAAAAAACGACAACCACTCATTTACAGGCTCCTGACTCGGGACAGGCACAAATAGAATGTGGTGGGGTTAAACATGTTTACTAGTGCCAAACCCTCCCCCTAACCTGGGACAGTGGTGTAACAGTACAACATAAGGACAAACAATAAAATCAGTTGAAAATGGCTTAAATCGTCAAATCGACACAAAGCAGAGAAAACAACTAACAAATAAAAGATCTGACGTAGCAGGGAATTGATACACCCCCCCTCCCCCCCAAAAAAAAGACAGACAAAGAACAGATCTGAGAGTACTCGCGGTTAATGACAGCAAATTCAAAGCCAATAACAACTACTAAAAAAACATGCATCTTAGACAAAATATCAATCAGTACACATCCAACATCCAATTGATTTAGTGTAAAGACGTCATTAGCAGTCAGAGAAAAACATGACCTTGTGCAATGCCAAGAAACAGGTATCGACAGACTGTAGAGCCACGAATGCGCATGTGTATATAAAAATAACATTTAGTTTGATTTTAATTTACTGGTAACAAAATCAATATTAATGCCAATAAAAACAATATTCAAAGATCTAAAAATTACAGTGTTGAATTGGTAACCTTTTAGAATACATTTATTCAAAGGATCGATAAGTTTACCCGGATCGTTTCTAAATTTCAGGGCTCGGTAAACAACATCTCCGTAAAAATTCACTGGTATCTCCACCGTACAGTTGATTTCGGACGTTGCTGTGTCGCCAATCGAAGTTGGTAGATAGAACGTGTAAATATTTTTCTTCAAAAGATTTATGGCCGTAATAGTAGGCATAACATGTTTTGGAAAACAAAGTTTACTGCATCCTGACAGCATTGTTCACAGTTGATTTCGGACGTTGCTGTGTCGCCAATCGAAGTTGGTAGATAGAACGTTCAAATATTTTTCTTCAAAAGATTTATGGCCGTAATACTAGGCATAACATGTTTTGGAAAACAAAGTTTACTGCATCCTGACAGCATTGTTTATTTATTATAAAACATAAACACCCATTATTAATTTAAACAACAACAAAAATCATTAAACACACGGTCACATTTAGTTTTCGAGTCAACATACCATGCTTTTATTTATAGTTAATTCAAGTTTGTGGTTCATAGCATCTTTATTTCGCGATGTTTACAAGTAATTTATATACACGTCTATTTAAAATAGTCACAACGAATGAGAAATCCTTTGTTATATTTTATTTATAAATGTTTAAAGACCAAACTCCGAATTTCGTCATGTTTCGTTGTCTTTATAGTGTTTTTGTTTAGTATCGTTTATTGCAAATCCTTGTACTGTTTGTTGTGCCGATCAATATGGTAAAAATATGTATATAACATAATAATACTGCTTGGCAACTTTTCAAAACTTGTTTAAAAGAGGGACGAAAGATACCAGCGGGACAATCAAACTCACAGATCGAAAACAAAACTGACAACGCCATGGCCAAAAATAAAAAGACAAACAGACAAATAATAGTACAGATGACACAACATAGAAAACTAAAGACAAAGCAACACGAACCCCACCAAAAACTGGGGGTGATCTCAGGTGCTCCGGAAGGGTAAGCAGATCCTGCTCCACATGTGGCACCCGTCGTGTTGCTTATGTTATCACAAATCCGGTAAATAGTCTAGTTCGGTAGGTCACATTCGTGAAAAGGGAAGGGTATTGTAGTTACGACATAAGGAACATAATCAAGCACTGCAACTTTTTAAGGACAATTTGCCGTAAAAATACGTTGCACTCATGGATTTTCTACTCCCGAATATTTTCGAATCCCTGACACACTAATAACAAACTCAGGACGATGTGTCGCATATCATCTTGATCTTCGTGTGACCTTTACATCAAGATCAAAATACAAGATTTTTAGAGTTATTTTTGCGAAATCGAAGTTGGTAGATAGAACGTGTAAATATTTTTCTTCAAAAGATTTATGGCCGTAATAGTAGGCATAACATGTTTTGGAAAACAAAGTTTACTGCATCCTGATAGCATTGTTCACAGTTGACTTTTCATAAACTGAAGACTTTTATAAAAAGTCATAATAATTACAATGAACTAGGTATGTGGGGGTATATTCTGGAGGAAGATACGCTCACTAACCTACACATATGTAATTCATCAAATGAATATTATCAGTTTTTGCATGTCCAATTATCGCATAAAACCACAATGAAAATCCATGCCACCTAAAAAAAAAATACACATCAGAAATGATCGCACTTACAGTGATAATGGATCGCACCAAATGTCAAAATGAATTGCTTTCAATAACTTTATTCTAGATTCTGTTGCTTTAATACTATATTATTGGACTTTAATCATATTATTGTACATTGTAAAGTCATATTCTAATGAAATTGTGTTAAAAATACATTCAAATCGATTATTTTGTATTTCTAAAACGTAAACAAACACAGTTTTTCCCGTCATCCTTTATTCTACAATAGTAATCCTCGCATATGACAGTGAAAATGAACTATCTGGATTCGCACTTTCTATACACTGATATATGTTTACAACAGCGATGAAACATTTAAATACATAGTTGGCTGAAAAGAATTCTTACATTGTTTTGATAATCTTAACGAAAAAGCTCATTTAATGAGCAAAAAATGACTTAAACTGCCCAAAGAGCTTATGGCTTCCCATGAAAATATGGGAATCTAAAGTTAAGAAAAGCTGTGCAGACTTTTCAAGAATATAAATAAATAGTGATATTGTATGGTTGTAGACATATTTACAAGGACAGATTCCTTACCTGGCTCCTACAACAGTGATGTACTGGACTGGATTACAACGTCAGGGTTCGTCATGGGGATGGGCCAATAAGGACCAATTTATTACGCAAAATGTGTAAGTAGTAACACGTTGGTACAATACTTTTAAATGAGTCCATCCCTTCACGTGACTTTTTAATGAGTCTATCCAATCACATTACTTTCTAACGAGTCCATTTCTTCAAAGTATTTGTTCTCTGACATTTATTCATAACTGGAAACCAAGGTATGTATAAATGCAATCAATAAAAAAGTCCGTAACATTCTGGTATATGTCACCGTAAAGCATTCACCAAAGAGCAAAACCCACACCGCATAGCCCCGACATGACAAAATGTAAAATAATTCAAACGAGAACACCAATGGTATGACTTATTTAAAAAAACACAATCAAAAACAAATATGATATACAGCAACAAACAACTACCACTGAATTACAGGTTGTTGACTTAGGACAGGCACATACAGAATGTGGCGGGGTTAAACATGTTTGCAGGAGCCCAACTCCATCTTAATCTCGGACTGTGGTTTAACAGCAAAGCATAAGAAAAAACAATAAAATCAGTTGAAATGGGCTTGGCTCATCAGATCGATACAAGGCACAAAAACAACTAATGAAATCACTCAAGACACAAAGTACCTATCTGAGAGTACTCGCAGCTACTGAAAGCTAGATGCCAAAAACAACTAATAAAAAATCATGTGTCCAAGACAAAATATCAATCAGTACACATTCATTTTTTTTCAATCTCTCATCATAGAATACACAAACCATACTTAAAATATTTTTAGAGTGTGGGCAGTGGAGCCAGATCATTTAGCAGGCAATGAACATTGTGGTATAATTAGAACTGATGGAAAGTTTGCAGACACAGATTGTACGAAAAATTATAACTATATTTGTGTAAAAGGAACAACAATGGGTATATATTTTTTTTTTAATTTTCCTTTATCCATGTAATGCAACTATATAATCCTACCAAGAATGTAAATTGTACATCTACATGTATGCAGTTTGTCTTTTCTAAATTAAAAAAAATTGAGTCTTATAGATTTTTATTTATTTATTTATTTAAATAAGGTAAATCAGTGATTTTAAGTATTATGAATACTGTTAAAAAAATTTATATGGCTTAGTTAATAAATCCATTTTTTATAAAAAGAATTTAGTTAGTTTTTTTTTTACTTTTTGATTCTGGTAACTTAGGTCTGACAAAAATGATATAACTTATGAATTTATACTTTATATTATTTTCTTATGTGAACTGAAATATACTTAAAAGTTTTGAAACTCAAAGAAAATGTTGATACATAATATAAATCTTTTGAACTAATAATGAATTTATTTTAATGAGTGAATAGGCTATTTCAGGTTGTTTAAGGTGTTAAAATTTTCAACTGTAGAGAAATATTTTTTGAATTTATGGTGTTAAATGGTACATTTGTAACTGTTACGTTGACATATATACCGCATAGTTTTATGTTCCCATATACAACATGGAACTGTAGAATTAAGAACTCGTGCTCTTATAATGTAATTCATTAAAAAAGTAAAGATAAGGGGACAATATTTGATATTCTGGGAGAGGGGGACAGGAATATCTTTTGCAGATTGTTTATTCATTTTCATCTGTTGCTACGTATCCTCATTTTTTCCTCGGCTTGTTCCCTTAGTTTCATGAAAATCTATGGGGAAATAGCTACCTAGCTACCCCTAAACCATTTATATGTAATATGCAGAGAAAATATTTTTCTGCTTATCAGTTATATAATTGCAAAAACATGAAGATTGCAACTCAGGTTATCAGACAAAGCTGACCATATTTGGTTTATGCTGTTCTATTTAAGCTCATTACCACTACTGCTACCGATTGACTGTCGAGTACTCTCCTTGGGTACCATCCACCTAGTAGGCTACCGATTGACTGTCACTCCCCTTCGGTACCATCAACCTAGTAGTCAACTTCACTATTGCATCAATATACTGATACATTTTCACACGGTAAATTTTCAGCTAATGAATAATGTTATAGTAATAAATTTAAATTACAGCAAGTAAAGTTGACTCTAGATGATTCTCCCTATACTTTTTAATGCATATTTAGTATTGAAGCTCACAAATTTTTTATTTGTTTTGCCTAGTAAATGTTTGATATCCAAGCTTATTCCAGTTAAAGACCCCTTAGGTCATATATGTCCTTAATTTTCAGTCATGACAAGATATATTGAATAGAATATAACACCGTAGATAAGGTCTTCCTCACCATGTTAAATTACAATCTTAATCGTCTCGTAATACTGTAGGATTTTTTATTTTGTATTTTAATGTAATATCTTGATCGCCACGGTTGTTTCAAGTAGAAGTAAATCGCTTTATCCGTTTCTGACACTTTATAATCACCATTTTGGTTTTCTTTTTTCACGTAGAAAGACGCAAAAGTTCATCATACTCATCATGAAAACCATGGTAATTAAAGTAACTTATGCTTTTTCTTGTATAGTTGATCCGACATACTTTTTTGGTTGTGGTGGATGGAACCGAGCTGGTCATAAATGCTACATATTTTACGACTCTCCAAAAACTACATGGTCTGATGCTAGAACACGATGCCAAAGTATTGGTTCAGACCTTTTAAAAATAGAAAGTATGGATGAAAAGGTAAAAATGATACAAATTAATCAAAATAATACCTATCAAAAATGCTGCCAACTGTTTCTGAAAGCAAGACCAAAGAAATCTTGAAAACAGTGGGGGTTGGGGTGGGGGGGAATAGATAACTACTCAAAACAAAATATCTATACCCACCACATGTTAAGACAGACATTTAAAGTCAGGACTTCGTCGATATGTAGAGTAAAAACAACTGCAAAGTCAAACAGACCCTAACTAAAAAATCAGGGTGATTCAACTACTCTATGAGTGAATGCAGTTTCTGGTTCACTGGTGGCACCAGTCGTGCTACTCATGACAAGTTGAACCCCAGTGATAAGTCGCATCGGTGATATGTAATAAAAAAAGAAGAAAAACGAGACAGTGCCAATAAAAGAGAGGCAAAAGATACTACAAGGATATTCAAACTCATAAGTCGATAACAAACTGACACTGCCATGGCAACAAACGAAAAACGACGAAAAAACAAACAGTACACAAAACACAACAAAGAAAACTAAAGACTGAGCAAGACGGTTGCTCTGGAAGGAAAGGTGGAAGGGTAAGCAGACCCTGCTCCACATGTGGCACCCGTTGTGTTGCGCGTGTTAGTACAAATCCGGTGTTAAGTTTAATTCGGTAGGTCACATTCGAGGAAAAGAGGACGGGATTTTGGTTGCGACAATTATAACATATACGTCGTCATCTGTAAAACAGATATTCCATAACGGTTAACCAACTCGTGATGGGGTCCGTAAAATTTGCGAAGGAATGATTTCAACTTCACCACTTTGAACCCATTGGTTTAATAGCTTCTTTGTAAACAGCAACCCTCTATCAAGGAAATCATGATATGAAATGCACTCTGGAATATCATCAATTGGGAGATAACAAGTGTTACTCACTCATGGCCATCTATGGCACATTTGTAACGGTCAATAAACATAAAGTTATGCTAACGTTCGTATGTCATTAAAGTCTGCAATTGTAATATACATGGTTGAATAACATTTCTATATTGGATAGTTTCTTGCATTGTATTAATCAATTTTTCAGAGATGGTTGGAGTGGGAAATGTCAATGACAGATACCCATCCTAATCTATACTGGACAGGACTGAATGACCAATCACAAGAGGGTGTTTATAAATGGGCTGATTCAACCACAGCTGATTCGTCACTGATGTAAGTTTGATAGTTTGTTTATAAATGGGCGGATTCAACCAAAGGTGACCAGTCTCTGGTGTAAGTTTGATATTTGTGTATACATAGGATCATTTAATAAGACATTTGTAGAGATTAAAGGCTATGACGAATAACCCAAAGCTCGATCTTTTACCACCACCACAATGTGTGCTTGTCATGCTGTCTGAACCGTGTGATAAACATTTTTTTTAATTGTTTTTTTAAAGTCCGGTTTTAAGTTTATATAAATAATAGTTCAACTATGTATGGAGTATGGAATGCTTGTTACGTGTATATATCAGTCTGGCATGGTTTATAAGACAATGACCTCATTTTTATGGTTCATTTGTCAACGTTATGATTTCGTGGTTAGTAGATATAAGAAGATGTGGTATGAGTGCCAATGAGACAACTCTCCATCCAAGTCAAAATTTATAAAAGTAAACCATTATAGGTCCGTTTTTCAGGTTCTCTAAGCAATAGGTTAAATGCACTTGGTATATGTCAAATGTATATTCTCAAATCCTACAAGCAATATTGGTGTATGGAATAATTGTAAGATGTAAATGTCGTCTTACAGTTTTATCTTACCTTAACTTGTATCTATGGTTCATTGGTTAACTTTAAGTTTTCGTGGTTAGGTCCGTTTCTCAGATATTTTTAGGACTATCAGACTATATTTGGTGTATGGAATGATTGTAAGGGTGTAAAATTGAAACATGATTAGTAGAGCAGGCCAGACATACCAGCGTGTGTAATTCATGTTTGTATTCTCCTATAAGAGCAGTGTCAAAGCAAACATTTATAATCTTTCAGTAGTTTCGATATTTGATTTAAAAAACAGATAAATTTATTATACCATGTAATATAATATTGTATTGTTTCATGACTACAGTCGCTGGAATCAAGAACCAAACGACTGGTTTGGAAATGAAGATTGTGCTGCATTGGTAGGAACTGGTAACTATAACGATATGGATTGTACATCTCAAACAGGATTTATATGTGAATATGTCAACTTGTTTTATAATGGTAAGTCTATAATGGTTTATCATGTAGCTAAGAATCTGTTAAAATGAGTGATTATTACCATAAGTTAACCACCACTGGGCCAATGCAACTGCTAAGGAATTGTCAGTTTTTTTTTCTTAAAAAAAGCTATCTTATTTAACATCGGACAACAAAAATACGTTGATAAAGGTCTACTCCACAAGTGTTGAGAAATAGATATGGCTTCTTATATATTGAGAAAATATGGTTTTAAATTAATGGTCGACCAGTTTCTGCTCCATTAGTAGCACCCATTGTGTTGCTCTTGATAAATAAACATCTGGCGATGAGATGCATTCTTCTTTGTAACTAGCAAACAAATCCTGATAAATAACACAAGTTCTGGATAACAATTACCAACTAGGTTTTATATATACACATTTTGCAACTGTTGCTGCGATGTTGCTTAATAACGTGGAATGTTTACAATGGGGAAATTCACTTTTGTCCTCAAGTTTAGATCTCATCGTTTGACTTAGGTGTAAGACCTCATGACTACCAATTCATGGGACAATGAAAGATCTTAAGAAACGTTGATTGTGCTTGAATATGTGGAATTCCCAGTAAATCAACAGTAAATCAACTGTAAACAAAATATTATTTAAAAGACATTTTGTGAAAAAGTTTTGCTGTAAGGTAGTTTACCAAGAGGTTGTGGTTACATCAGCTTGAATCTTCGTACACATGTTCATTATGATTAAGAACATATATGCCAAATTTGGTTTAAAATAGATCAAACACTTGGTTCGCGTCTTCATTATGATGCGAACTTTTTAAAATAAATGCTAAATTTTGGATTTTACTAAGATTTCAATGTTCACTGAACATGTTAATGTGAAGGCGAGAGGGACATGGTTTCTTACGAACACATATTCATGTCTCTTATTAATAATGCAATGATCTTTTCAGCTGGCACTTCAGGCCCCATCTGTCCAACAGGTAAAGGTTGGATAAATATGCCAAATACCAAAGAGTGTTATTACTTTAGTCCACAAAACCAAACTCTTTCTTGGTCAGAAGCCAACGACTATTGTCACAAGCAGAAGATTGTTTCTACGACTATACCTACAACGCTACTGGCAGTAAACAGTGCCCCTGAAAGGGTAAAGTTCATGCATGAAAGCATCCATGTTATCTGTATGTTTCAAATTTAGCGTCATTAGAATCGTTACTTAATACACATATTGTATATTTTGTACTGACAGATTATTTAATATCAATGACAAGATCCCAAAAGCTGTTCTGACAGGTTTTGCACTTTTGCGTTAATTGTATGAAAATGGAAGCCTTAAAAAAAAGTAGGTCAGACTCAATGTAAGATATGAACACTTTTTTCCTCACAAACTTACGTTTTATAAATATCTGGAAGGTGGTATTTGAAAGGATTATAATACTTTTTTTTATTTTCAAATTCAAAAGGTAAAAAAGTGGAATACCAAACGTTCTTCTGTTGGCGTAAATTATATACTAGTACTCTTATCATACTCTTCTGTAAGTGAAATCTAGTCTGAAACAGCCACTTAAATGTGTATAGGGTCGAAAATTGGTGATTACTCAAACGTTAGTCATGTCAATGCTCTAAACTTGTGAATGTATGTACTTCTACTGTACATAGAAATTCTTGAACCCATTGTGTGGTTCTAGTACAAGCTATTTTCTTGTCTCGTTAACATGGTTTTGTCCTGGAAAAGCATGAATTATTAAAAGCTGCACGTTTAGTAGTTATTTATAAATAAATCATTGAAGCATTCCGAATACAAAAAGTACATTTTACGCTGATGGATATAAAAAGTGGTCAGCATGATAATCACATTTTAAAAGTAATGTTGAGGTTAATGTTAATCATGGAAAACCAGCGACCAGTTTAAAATATATAGTAAATATTTTGTAGGATTTCATAGTAGCACAGATGGCAAAAATGACAAATCCACCTAAAGGATATTGGACATCCTTGAACGACATGAACCAAGAAGGCCAGTGGATGTTTTATGATAATTTCAATAACCCGCCAAATACAAAAGTTATGTAAGAACAATTGATAACCCCTATTTTGTTTGATTTGTCATTTTACAACTTTGTTTTTTTAACAAAATATATGAAAGTCTCACACAAATAACAAATAAAAAAATCTCACACAAAGAAAATATGAAAACATCTCACACAAAAGCCAATAAAAAGATTTTAATAATAGCACCATCTTTAATAGAAATACATTATTTCGTTGTTCTACTACCTTTAGCCAGGTGAGCTACTTTCCGTCATGTGTAAAATTAAGTTGTCGCCGGTGAATCATAAACTGTCGAGAAGAATCTTCATACTGTTTTTGTTTTTGATTTTAATAACTGTATCACAGTCCTGTCCTTTAATATTATGAATAAAAGGGGATGTATTATTTCTGAGTTCATAACAAATGTTTCTTGGATAATATTCATCATGTATGCTCGACAAGAAAAAAAATATAATAAAGCACGTTGGGAGGCATAAATACAACAGGGTCTAACAGCCAACACTGTCTAAGGACAACTTTGGCTGATAGAGTGCATCCTTTAGAGCACAAAAAAAAACCAAATAGGCCCGTTAGAAAAAAGAAAAGCCGAAATCATCGAATGGTCAACTTAGTTTCAAACTTATGAAATTTTAGGTTTCAAAAACAAAATTCCTATTACATTATCAAATGAATTGTCCATTTTTGTTTTGAAGAAATATCAATTGTAATTTTTTTTAAAGAAAATGAATTTGAAATATATTTTTTTAAAGAAATTGGGGTGGTGAACCAAGTGATGATGGAACAAAAAATCAGGATTGTACATTTGTGTTATATGGTGGAAGATATTTTGACGTAAATTGTAAAGCCAAATTTGGTTTTATATGCCAAAAATACGCTACAGGGTTGGCTGCAGTTTATGGTGAGTTAAAATAGTAGTAAAGTTGAAATGTATATACAGTTATAATGGAGATAAGTTAGCTTATGTGGGATGTATAACGTTATATCCAGTACATGTACGGGAGTATTCCAGGCTCTCTGGACTCACTCCGAAAATCTAGGCTGTATACAAAGCCATGTGTTTTTGGTTATGGGAATACACAAACCTTTAGAGGAAATTGACTGAAAAATACTTGATTAATTGGAACCGACGGCATACAGAATACATGGTTTGTCCGACGTACGGTTTTCAAGCTATACAGTTTACATTAAGTCGGGTGTTAGAACATAAAACTAAAGGTGTACATATTGTCAGGATTTTGATTTCCCTTAAATTTTATACAAATAACGGGTTGTTGAACTTAACGTTTTCAAGCTAGAACTGTTATTAATGCTAGTGTTTGTACATACACAATAGTTGTATAATCAGTACATCAAATATGTTTTAAAAGACGCGAACATCTCAAATTGTCCTTCAGCATGACTGATACTAAGGCCACCGAGGGCATCATCAAAAGAGAGGTGCAAGATACCAAAGGACATTCAAACTCATTAGTCGAAACCAAACTGACAACGCCATGGCAAAACTCTTAAACGATCAAAAGACAAACAACAGTATATAAAACAAAATATTGAAAACCAAAGACCCTACTAAAATCTGAGTGTGATCTCATGTGCTCCGGAAGGGTGAGCAGATCCTGCTCCACGCGTGGTTCCCGTCGTATTGCTCATATTTAGTTTAGAATAAACTTTCAAGTTTGGGATAAATTTTATTCCCAATTCTTTGATTCAAAATGATATTGTTTTCAGTTAGAAATGTATTTATTTGACCATTGCAGGAAATGGGGGATCATCAGGTAAAACAGACGTCATCACCATGGTAACAGTGTTGCTTGTGACACTGTTTGTAAAACGTTGTTTTTGAAAAGATATTGTCTTATAAAGTTGAACAATGTGACTATTCTTTTGGTATTGTGAAAATGTGTAAAGTGCCACGAGACCTATCCTGTCTTATAGAGTTTTAGATAATATTGATAATAATGTCGCAAATTTTGGCAATCCAAGATTATTGTCAACCAATACCTTACTCATCTGAGATAACAAAAAATTTAAATAAATATTCATTGAGAAAAAGATTCTCTAAAAAGTTATAATCTATTTGAGTCAATTACAACAGTTATCAAAATCATACCGTAAATTTGTGTTGCACAGAGTTTACTTTCATTTAATTTGTATGAAATCTATATAACTTAAATATTTAAACAAGTAAATTAATCAAATTGTAGGTAGTTAGAAATATTTTTTTTATTAGCTAATATTATGAGCATTCTTGTTTAAAAGTATGTACTTTATCTATCCCAAATAAATAACGACAATATTGCTTTCAAATTATTTTTATTATAAAGGTTTTTCTTATAAAACAAAGCGTTATATAACATAATAGTTATATGTTTAGATATCATATAACTACGTACATTTAAGATCATATGTGGACTTTTTACATGTGTATAAGCTGACTTGGTTTGTGTGCGCTCTGATAAAAATTGTCTCTACATCATATCATTTTGTTATTAAAAATATTTACATCATTCCTTTTCATTTCTTGGCATGTTGAGAGAGAGAAATATTCATAAACTGTGACTCAAAGCCGAAAGATGCAACATTGAAAAACTGTTATCAAAATGTTTCTCCTGAATTGTCATCATAAAACTACGAGATATGTGATAATTTACAATATGATAGCAAGCCAATCACACTAAAAAATACAAATCCAGATGTCAAAATGCTGTCTTAAAAAGTATGTTTTATAAATTTCGGGGGTACGAAGCGCTTTTCTTGACATACCTTCACTTAGAACGCATATAACCAAAATTCTAAGGCAAAGAATGTATAAAACCTTGAGGAGCTATAATACCAAAATGGACCATCAGAAATAGCAAAAAAACCTTCCTGATGGAGTTGGAATAAGGACATTTTTAGAAATGTATGCATTAAATGATACATAATAGGTTAATACCAACGCCTTATTTGGATATTTTGATTACTTATATTTGAAAATATTTCTGGAAATATTTGAAAATAATTGTATTTTTAAATTTCGAGGTCAAAATTATTGTTTCTCAAACTTCCAACTAAGCTCTCTTGGTGAAATCGGTAACATTAAGATTCATTCAACAAAGGTTTACTTGATATCATTTTCCATCAAACTGAAAACATGTCAATTTAAATTGCAAACCATAACAGAACCAAACAACCAGTCCAAATATCTGTCATAACTGCATGAGTGTATCCTATATTTAACTGTGAAGACTGTGCATTAGCCGATCTTCCATCATGTTGTTCATCTGGTGTCTGAGTAGTTCCTGTAATTATGATAAAGAAATCATTTGAAGCCTACTCAATCATTTAGATGTAGCGACTGACGGAAAAGCCATATCGGAATTGTATGCTTATAAACATAAAAGCATGTGATATAAATGCCAATGAAGCAATTCTCCACCAGAGTTCAAAGGATGGAGTTGTAAGCAAAAACAATTTACGAAAAACAAATATGACAGACATAAACCAACGACAACCACAGAACTACAGGCTCCTGACTTGGGACAGGAACATACAAAATCTGACAGGGGTTAAACATGTTTGAAGGCACCAACCCCCTTAACTTTGGGCAGTGGTGTAACAAACTATGCAAAATAATTAACGAAAAACAAATCTGAGTAACAGCAAAAAACGATAACATCTCAATCACATGTTCCTGACTTGGTACAGGCACAAGTAGAATGTGGCGGGGTTGAACATGTTTACTGGTGCCAAACCCTCCCCCTAACATGGGACAGTGGTTTAACAGTACAACATAAGAACATACAATAAAAATCATTTGAAAATGGCTTACTTCATCTTATCGATACAAAGCAGAAAAAAAACTAACAAAAACACAGACCTGACGTGGCAGGGAAATTATACATCCCCCCAAAAAACAAACAGATCTGAAAGTACTCGCAGTTACTGACAACTAGCTCAAAGCCAATAACAACGAATAAAAAAATCCTGTATTTAAGACTTAAATAACAGTACACATCCAGCATCCAATGGATTTAGTGTAAAGACGTCATTAGCACTCACATAAAACATGACCTTGTGCAATGCCAAAATATAGGTATTGACAAATTGTAGAACCGTTAATGTATAACAATAAGTATCGTGTTAATTTACTGATAACATAATCAATACTTATACCAATAAAAAAATGTTCACAGATCTAATTACATTGTAGAATTGATAATCTTTTAGAATAAGTTAATTAATAGGATCGATAACCTTACCCGGATCGTATCTAAATTTTTTGGGATCGGTAAACACCATCACCGTAAAAATTAGGATGTGCTATCTAGTGTGAAATCAGTTTTACACAGGCATAGTCAAACTTCCAAACCAAATCTTTGTATCTATAGAAGAATTTAGTAAAGGTGTTAAATAATTTGTGGTAACAAAATACCGGACTTTAAAATATTTTGCCAGTAATACATAGAGTACGCTCATTAAAATCCAAAACGTCACTACAGACACGGGCATAGCGAACGAGTTGGAATATATAAACACAGTAAGACGTTACCAAAGGAACATCACCGTCCACAAAAGAAATCAAAGCGTGAAAGCGCTGTAAAGGCAGTTAATTACAGGTTGTGTGTATTGTTAGTCCAGTTATATCATTATCTTGCATAGTACAGTGTACTTATCAGAGGTGGCTTTCAGTATTTAAGATTTAGAGTTCTCTAATGATATTGAACAAGCTATATGAATGTCATATTCTGAGCACTATATGAAGGTGATTGTTCTCACTTGTTTATGAACTAGTGCATTATGTCCAGTTTGTACCTTTTTTTATCTATGTTTATAGTCAAGTTAGTTATCAAAGGTACCAGGATTATAATTTAATACGCCAGACGCGCGTTTCGTCTACATAAGACTCATCAGTGACGCTCAGATCAAAATAGTTATAAAGCCAAACAAGTACAAAGTTGAAGAGCATTGAGGACCCAAAATTCCAAAAAGTTGTGCCAAATACGGCTAAGGTAATCTATTCCTTGGATAAGAAAATCCTTAGTTTTTCGAAAAATTCAAAGTTTTGTAACAGGAAGTTTATAAAAATGACCATATAATTGATATTCAAATACTGTTTAAAATAGTTAGGCATTTTCTTTTTAGTAATAAGTAAATGTTATCAACTGTATTTTATTCAACTCTGCAAATGTGGTTTGTTACTGTTAAGTATGGATGATAGTTGTTTCATTGGCAATCATAACACATCTCCTTATTTATATAATGATCTATATTCAACGACCTCAGGTACAAAAAAAATGTATGTAACTTAACTATGATGGGAAACCTTTGACTTCTTTCTTTTATATAAACTTTTGATTTGGTACCATAGAACTATGTAGAATAAATGTACATTGCAACATGTCAACTCTTTCAATGACAATACTTTTTTAAGAAACTATAACTCCAAGCAAAATTATATTTCCAAGTTTAAAGTAATTTATGAATGAAAAAAAGAGTTCTTAATTAAGAAATAAACTGATTCGCTGAGCGCAGCTGGATACACCCGCAGAGGTCCAACCCTGAACAGTTGGGGCAAAAATGGACACAATATTCAAGCTTGATACAGGTCTGAATTTGGATTGTAATTAAATATTTGACATATTATAGTTTCTGAATAAATGTAGTCAAAGAACTTGAAATCGGTTATATGAATTGAATTTATATTCAATTAAAGATTTCTTGCTGTTCTGCAATACACTGTGCTTTGCGCAATACTTAATAAATCTGTTGCCAGACTATAAACAAATAAAGTTCAATTTCTTCTCAATGTCATATTTGAAATTTATGAAAATCTAAAGGGAGATTACATCAATAGCTATAAATAATTCACCAAAGTTTCATGTGAACTGCTTATAGCATTTTTGAGTTTTTGTCCAACAAGAGTGCACACGCTGAAATGTCTTGCCTTCTTTACTAATCACTGATATTATGTTGATAGTCCTTAATATAAAGCTTTATTACAACTGTCACATAAACTTAACATTAACCAAGAAAACTAAACATTGACCAATGAACCATGAAAATAAGGTCAAGGTCAGATGAACCATGCCAGGCAGGCATGTACAGCTAACAATTCTTCCATACAACAAATATAGTTGACCTATTGCTTATAGTTTAAGAAAAACAGACCAAAACACAAAAACTTAACACTGAGCAATGAACTGTGAAAATGAGGTCAAGGTCAAATAAAACCTGCGCGACTGACATATAGATCATAAAATATTTCCATACACCAAATATAGTTGACCTATTGCATATAGTATTAGAAAAAAAGACCAAAACTCAAAATCTTAACTTTGACCACTGAACCATGAAAATGAGGTCAAGGTCAAATGAGACCTGCCAGCTAGACATGTACACCTTACAATCATTCCATACACCAAATATAGTAGACCTTTTGCATACAGTATAAGAAAAACAGACCTAAACACAAAAACGTAACTATAACCACTGAACCATGAAAATGAGGTCAAGGTCAGATGACACCTGCCAGTTGGACATGTACGCCTTACAGTCCTTCCATACACCGAATATACTTGACCTATTGCTTATAGTATCTGAGATATGGACTTGACCACCAAAACTTAACCTTGTTCACTGATCCATGAAATGAGGTCGAGGTCAAGTGAAAACTGTCTGACGGGCATGAGGACCTTGCAAGGTATACACATACCAAATATAGTTATCCTACTACTTATAATAAAAGAGAATTTAACATTACAAAAAATGTTAACTTTTTTTTCAAGTAGTCACTGAACCATGAAAATGAAGTCAAGGACATTGGACATGTGGCTGACGGAAACTTCGTAACATGAGGCATCCATATACAAAGTATGAAGCATCCAGGTCTTCCACCTTCTAAAATATAAAGCTTTTAAGAAGTTAGCTAACGCCGCCGCCACATCACTATCCCTATGTCGAGCTTTCTGCGACAAAAGTCGCAGGCTCGACAAAAACTGGAAAATCCCCCCTTTTTTAATGAATAAAACCCCATAACTCAGAAATGTAAAATCTAAAATTTATAAAATTCTAAAGGGAGCTTACGGATTGATAATTTAGTCTTAGATGCAAAATTTTTTTATCAGTTGTTAGTGGCTTTGAACTAGCTGTCAGTAACTTTGAGTACTCTCAGATCTGTACTTAGTGTCTTTTTGTTGTTTGGATGTACAACTACCCGACCACGTCCACTTGTATTTGTATTTATCCATCTGATGAGTTAAGCCTCTTTCAACTGATTTTTATAGTTCGTTCTTATATTGTACTGTTACACCACTGTCCCAGGTTAGGGGGAGGGTTGGCGCGCCTTCAAACTAGTTTAACCCCGACACATTCTGTATGTACATGTATGTGCCTGTCCCAAGTCAGGAGCCTGTAATTCAGTGGTTGTTGTTTGTTTATGTGTTGCATATTTGTTATATTCGTTCATTTTTTGTACATAAATTAGGCCGTTAGTTTTCTTGTTTAAATTGTTTTACATTGTCATTTC